GGTGCACGCAAATATGGTCGCAAACACGGCACGTACTCGTTAGGTTTAATTGCTGGTAATGTTGTGCTGGTAACTTGTATAAGTGCGTTAAAAGGCGGCAATAAACTGTGGTTTAATTTTTGTTTTGTTTTCTCATTATTATGCGCATGCTTACATGTCCATTTCGGTTCCAAAAATTAAAGTGAATTTTTCAACTAAATCAAGCGTGCCAAAAAAGGAGAAAAATTAAAAATAAATGCCAGAAGTGCACTGTAGGTCAAGAAGACAAACAGTGTGTTACAAGGAGTACACGAGAAAGTGATGCTTTAAGTACTTAGAAATAAAGTTTATTCAGATAGTGTTAAGCTTTAGTTTAGACTGATTCGATACTGTTTTTGCGATAGTAGCTGTAGGAACCTGCTAGACTGCAGGTTTGGCTGGATTATTCATCCACCAGCTGCCTTTCCTCTTTATGTTTTTACGAATTATCATCTATGGTGATGTTGAGCCTTCCTTCGGCGACCTCAATGCTTAGTCTTTTGCTGAGATCAAACTCAAACTCAACTGGCTTACCTGCGCTCTTGAGAAGAATCATCGTCATACTTAATGCCGTGCACTAGCGGTATTTCTTACCCTTATTTTCGCTGGGGCCTTTCCAAATTTCTAACTTTGGACCGATCTCCACTACCCAGGTGGCCATTATCTCGTCCTTACTGTCGACTAAAAGAAGGCCTGCCCTAAAGGAGAGTTTGCTTTAGGTGGTGATTTTTGTTTCTGTTCTTGTTAAATTTTCTGTTTTTGTTTTTACGTACTTATTCTGTGTCTTATGATCTTAAAATGTCATTAAATAAAGTTTTTTTAAGCAATCGCTATCAGCCACCCTTTTGCATTTAGTCAAAATTTTTAGAATGCTCCTTCTAATTATTAATAAATTTTACATTTTATTACTATGTTGAAACTTCACATTCATACTCCGCCCATTTTATGTAATACAATTCATTTACGATTTTGTTCACACATTTTTATGGTTTGTTGCTTGAGTCATTCACTTTGCGGCCTCATTATGCAGACGCAATGCTAATGTTGCTTGTAGAATGCGATTTGTTGAAGTTGCTGCAATATTTTGTGGTTTTGCTGTTATGCTTTTTATTATTCTTTAAGCTGGCTTTTGTATTTATTTTTATGGTTATTTCGTCAAAAACAATGCAATTGTTGTCACTAGTTAATATGCAGGCGCCAACTTGCCACTTGAAGTGTGAGAAATTTACAACTATCAACAAAAGAGCCAAAGCAGTAAACTGCCGAATTTTTGGCATATTCTTAAATTATTTTTTTCGTAGCTATTTAACTATACTTTAAACATTCTTTACACCTCCTAAAGGTTTTAATACATTATATTTCTTAGAAGATTTTAAAAGATTCTTAAAACAAATAGTTTGAATTTTCAAAAAAAAAAAATTGTTATATTTTAGTTATATTTTTTCCCTACGCTACCAAATTATAAAAATTTATTATTAAAAAAGTACTTCTTTTTTTACCAAATTGATAATCTTTGGAACTATCAACGCGAAAATAGTAACTTTTTTACTATCTAACCGGAAAATTATTTACCGAACAAACGAAAGTTCACACCATAAATCAAAAAACAAACAAAAATAACTAGCATCTAATGCGTCTCAGTTTACAAACCTGTGCCATAAAGTGCAACAGAGAATGACGAAAGTGTAAGAAACCAAATAACACAAGAATTAACTAGAAATGAGTATAATTTACGAATTCAAATTGAAAGCGAAAAAACAACGCCAATTGCATAATCAGTTTCATGCGCCACATAAATCAAAAACCAGTCACGTTTCGATAGTCTGAGTGGCGCATGCGCGACGTGGTACATTTACATGCCAATCAAGTAACCACTTTTGCTTATTTTCAATTACAGTTTTCATTTTCATGGCAACTTTTTCGTGAATAAATTCTAAGCGGCAAGTACAAATATAGACACACAATTATATCCATGAAAGATTTGCGTATATGGCGAATTTGATATTCTTGTAACTGGTTTTAGTAACTTCTCGTAGTTCTCGGAATGAAGTACAAAAAAAAAAAAAAAAAAGTTTCTGTTGCTTTTTGATTGCGTTATAAAAATTATGGTTGTAATAATGGGCGAAGTTGTGGAAGAACGCTTAAGTACCTATAAAATTAATTTAATTGACCCAAAAACTCGCTTTCTCAGTGATTTTGAATTAAATATGTGAATATGTAATAAAAAAAATTTAAAGAAATAAAAATAAAAGATAAAGCGGCTGTGTGCCATTGAATTTAATGCTTCAAAAGACTTAAGCAACGAACTTGAGGCACACCTTTGTGAACGTTGATTTTTGTTTACAAAATCGATTGTTTTAAATGTATATGTTTAAAGAACATGCAGTAAAATTAAAAAAAAATATTTTGTTTACCTAAACCAGACCTATGACGGCGCTAAACAAAGAGTCCTTACTTGCTACATTGATTCCGGCCTTGTGAATGGAACATACAAATAAAAAATTCTAGTCAAACAAGAAGATATTTTCCATGCAATGATCTAGAAAATTGACAAAATGGCGGACTCTTTAAAATAAATTAATTTAAATTTTTGATCAGTTCAAAAAATGAATGGGTTATTGTATGTAGAATTATATAGAAAATAGATAGAAAAGAGGCATTTAATGTTGATGGGATCATTTATGCAGAACACTTCATAAATGCTGTTTCGAAAAAAACACGTTTAAAAATAAATTAATGAAGCTGATAGAACTGAAGACTCAAAAACTATTTCATGCATTGATTTGAAATACTAATTGACTACATACGCACAGAGTTTTGCTATTAACTGTGAATTATTTCATGCCATTTTTAGTAAATTTTTTACATACAATTAATTATAATAAACGTAAAAACGTTTTATTTCAAAGGTGTTATCAAAATTTCCTTGTGTAAATCAGTTTCTTTAATTATCTGCCCTACTTCACTCTGATCTTATAATTTCAATTGACAGCATACTTCAAGGGGACCGTAAATATTTTAAATTTATTTTAACCTAAATTCTATCAAAATCTAGTCGCTGTCAGCTGTAAGGCTGATTGTGTTTGCCAATAGTTTTTTTACATAATTTTAGACCATTTCATTAAAAGTTAATTGTAGGCCTTGAAATTATTTGCTTGCAAGCAATTATGTTCAACCCATTAGCGTCCTCGCTTCTAAAAAATCAAACATGTATATAGAGATTCTTCTATCGATCATTAAAATGCCGCATGGCAGCAACGGCGTGTCTTTATCGCAGTTGTAATCTCAAATGACTACTCGGTAGCTTGACGCACAGCTGTGTTGCAAATAGCAGCAGTAATGTCCAAAAGTCGAAGATGTATTCGTGAATTTGCTGGACGTGGCTGGTTTGGAATTTCAATGAAATTTTTAACCGATTACGTTGCTAATAGCTATTGTTGTTGCTAAACTTTTCAGGGTTTCAGTGATGACTATTTATAAAGAAGAAGAAATAAATAAATAAAATATTGATAAAAGTAAAAAAATCCATATTTTTTATGATACCAATTAAAGTAATATACTAGTTTCTAGAAATAAGTTGTATATACTGTTTGTAATATTCAAAAAATGACCTCAGTGAAAAAATAAAAAGATTTGGCTGCTTTTATGAAAGTAATACGGTTTGCATAATTTTTMAAAAAAAAAAAAAGTTTGAATTTAAAAAACATAAAATAAAACAAAACTCAAAAAAATTAATATTAAATTTTTTCAAAACAGAAAGATTTCAAAAAAATTAAAAAAAAACTTAAAAAATATGTTTCGGAAAAAAATAAAAATGATGTTTCTCATCATTATGTTTAAAAGAAGTATGGTTTTTATAGAAAAAATAATAATTTTTCAAACAAAAATTAAAAAGATATTTTTCATCATTATGTTTAAAAGAAGTAAGGTTTTTATAGTTTTTCAAAAAACTTAAAATTTTTTTTTTTTTTATAATCTCAGTGATACCAAAGTAAGCTTTATAAACTATTTTGTGGAAATGATGAGTGTTTGCAACATGCAAAACCTAAATTGCGCTGTTTTTATAGCAAAGTTGAATTAATATTAATGTCTAATTCTTTTCACTGCTTTATATTTATCTGCCCAAGTGGAATTCATTGGCTTTAGATGAACCTTCCTATATTTATATATATAAAATCCTAAGTGTGACCTTAAATTTTATATTATTTACATTTCCTCTCTAAGAAAGTGTTGAATGGAACATTCACGTGAAAATTTGGTGCTTTTCATGCTTGCACAAATAATTTGATGCTGACAACAAGTCTAAATCATTATTTTGACGCTTTTAAAGCATTTATAGTGATTTAAGATTTCATTTTCCTCAATTAATTTAAGTCGAGTGCACAAACAAAGATAAAAACTTTAGTGTCACCTAGAATAACACTTGTCTCTTTTCGTTCTCTTTTTCATTGCAGTTGAATAAAAGTTTGAATGCAGCGGCTGCATACAAAAGCAGTGACATTAATAACAACAGACAGTGGAATGTGATGACAATCAACGAAAGTGAAAATGCGAAAAAATAAACAAATTTATTGAAAGGCATGCTTATTTACATAATAAAACGGCAAACTGATTAAATGATGAGCCATGCGCGATGTGTTTAGGATTCATGTCGATGAATTGGATGCAGCAACGGTGCAGCTTAATATGCCATCACAGAAAATTATTTGTTTGGACTAAAGACATTGTGGAGTAAATGAGAGACTCTTTTTATAAAGAAAAATGTTTTGTTTGGTTAAAGAAATAAGTGATTTTTATACGAATATTGCCAGATTGATTATCACTTGTCATTAATAAAGAAAAAAGGGGTTAAAGGAATATAATATACCAGTGAAAACTAAAAGTATTAAGTTGCTGGATATTCAAAAATTTTAAAAATTATGCAGTTAAAAATGTAAATAACAAGCTTCAGAGCAATTTTATTATTAAAGAATAACCAAAACATTAACAAATACACTCTTCAAAAAAATATTGAAAAATAAGTTTCAACTTAGCTTAAAGAGTATTCAATTTGGAATATGCACATAAAAGTCAAGATAATTTCGTCACATATGCTTAAGAAGCTCCAGCTGCGTAAGAGTGTCAAGCTTTACAATACGTATGAAGAAAACTGCGCACTCTGTATACTCCGTACATGCAATAACAAAGCAGACAGAGTAGAAAAACATTTAAATTGAGGAACGAATTGCAGCTGAGCGTAGAGACATTTAAGAAAGAAACTAGAGTCTAACGGCAATCAATAAAGAGGCTTGGGAAACAATAATTTGGAAATAAAAGCCAAATAAAAGAGAAGAAATTATAACTGAATAAAATCACATTAAACGAAACATAAATTGGGGGCAGATAAGTAATTGCTGTGGGAAGATGTTGAGTCTTCAAGTCAATCCACGGGGATTAAAAATGCCGTTTCTTTCAGAAACATATACGTTTTTTGAATGAAGATCATTTTTAAGAGTAATATAAGGATTTTTTTAAACAAATTTTAATAACCTTTTTCATATATGATTCCTTATAAGAAGATGTGTTTTATAGTTTTAAAGATCGAAATGACACAAAAACTTACCTTACCGACGTTGAAATACAATTCTCACATAAAAAAAATATAACTGGCCCACTCATGGCATATAAACGCACGTACGCGTGAGGACTCCAGCCAGAGCTCAAACAAAGGGAGATAACCTCAAAAAGAAACGAAAAACTCCCAACTTATTATAGCAAAGTAAAGCGTTTCAGCGTTAAGCTTACAAAAACAGTAACAACAGTACTACACTGCTGTGAGCGATTACTAAGCAATGGCAGCAACAATGCACATACAAGTGGAGCAACATGTGTGGCTGACAAGTTGTGAATTTTGTAGCAACAATGCTGACAAATGTTGAAAGATGAGTGATTAAAATGTCACTTGAAGTTGCGCAGCAGTTAGTCGCCGTGCGATAAGCAGCACTTATAAAACAACAAGAAGAAAAGTGCAAAAAATATATAAAAATGGAAAAACGAAGAAGAAAAGCTGTAAAAGAAGTAGAAAACTGAAAATAAAGAATGGAATAAAAAATTTGGACGCATGCAACAGCAACCGAAAGCTGTATAACAACGACAGCAAAGAAACGATGATGCCACAAGAAATCTTGCGAGAAAGAGCAAAGCAAAATGTTAGCAACAATACTTGCATTAGTAACAAACACAAAACTAATAAATTAATCATTTCATTCATATCTAAAGGCATCCGTCACCGGTTGACTGACTGCTGCGCCGGCTCGTTGCTCTAGTAGAATACGCTCAACGGCCAACGACAGCCAGCAACAACAACATTACGCAGCAGCAGAAGCTGGTGATGGCGACAACAATAACAAAAAATTATAGAACGGCAGTAAAAATGTGTAGCGTGAAAAAATCGAATTTTTATTGAAACGCTGGATTGGAGTTGGGTTGCACTGACTGAATTGGACAAGCTGAAAGACAGAAGACCGGATTCAGTTCAATAGTCATTGAATAACTGACTGCCATATTGTCTGTGTCTGCGTATGTAGCTGCCAGCGAAGAAAGTTTACAGCGGGAGTGGTATACTTGTATCTAAGAGTGAAAAGAAAATGTGTATAAAAATACGAAGCATTGTCTAAATGTGATCACAATACGAGCAAATAGTAGAGGTATGATCGGATTCCGAGAAAAAAACTGTTATATGAAGATGTATATTCTGTATAGCTATTGGATTAGTGATCAAACCTAAATCTTGTATGGCAGTTAGGTTAGCACAGATTGTTAGGTTAGTTGGTTGATACTTTAACGTGGCGGACAAATCACACTTAGACTGCTGTGTTTAGCCCATTTTGAACTTGTTTGTTAGCAGGCATAAGCATAGTTTTTTTTTATAGTAAATATGCGGCTGATTCTTTCACCTATATGCATATTCCTTCGAAATTACAAAAACAAAAAAAAAAGCTTTAGTAATTAAAGTTTTTTTAATTTTTTCTAATTTAAATTTTTTAATTTAGATTTTTTTTAATTAAACATTTTTTTATTTATTCAAACATTTATAGAAAAATTTGACTCTTTCGCACTCATCACTTCCAATTACCCAAATTAACTGCACTAATTAATGATCGTAAAACTTAATTATTTGAAAGAGAAATTGTTTTCATACAAAAACAATAATAAGTGAAGTGATAAAATCAGTAAGCAATACGCAATTTGAAAGGTAGACCCGAATAAGAGAAAATTTCGCCAAACCATCAAGTTTTTTCGGACAGGCCCATAAATCATATATCGTTAAACGTATGCAGAGATACAACAACTAAAAAAAAAACAGCAACAAAAATAAATAACCACACCACAACGTTTATTGAACTCTCTTTGCTGCATTTTTAGGAAAAGAAAAACTTCATTAAATTGGTAGTCGCTTTTTATGCCCAGTTAAGGAAATAAAAGTCAAGCGCGCTTAATAGCCAAGGTAGCGGCAGCAGCCTTAGCAGCCAACGCCGCAACAGCAACAGCATCAATTACAACAACTACAACTTTAATAAAAGCAACAGTAAGAAATGCCTCAAGCGCTTCAGCAGAAAGGCCATCGGTCTACATCGCTGCAGACGGAAATCACAGCAGCGCCGGTGCACGACTTTCGAAAGTGAAATATGCACATACAAGCAAACAAAATCGAGCGAAAAAGCACATGCAACACATAAGCACAAAGAAAGGGATACATATATGTGCGTGTGTATGGAAACCAACTGAAAGTGAATTTATGTTCCTCAAAAAGGCACGCAGTGAACTTGCAAACATTTAATACAGACAGAGTTAAATAGTGCAATAATTTTAGGTGTCACTAAATGTTTGTTTATATTATTTTATGGTGCACACACGTTTGTCGCGATAATTTATGTTTACAGTTTTTTAATTAAATTAGGTTTTATTTTTTCGTGCGTGTTTTTGGCTCATAGTTGGGTGTTAGCAACAAAAATTACAATAACAACAATAAGGAATAGCGGTGCGGGTGAAGGCAGCAAAAATGGAGTCCGAAGAAATAACCAAAATGGTGGACGGCGTTTATAAGGTAGGTGTGCGCTTAATTTAAATATAATTTCTTTTTTACAATGACAAAAATATAATAAGCTGAATTAAATTAACTAAATTCCAATTTTTTTTAAAATAATTTTTTTTATTTATTTATATTCATAA